GTTGAAGCAGGTAAAATGCATTAAACAAGTGCTAACACCACAAGCTATATCCCAGCTCCCTAAAACCACCCTGACTAGAAAGAACATACAATGTTTTCATAATACGACCCAGGTTCAGTTCTGGATGTGGGAAGCCAAATTTTATAGCTGTCGGAAAACCACCTAGAACTCCTCTACATACCCTAGAGTAAAACCAGAGCCATGCAAGATTAGCTGACAGTAACATTTGCTTCTGAGATCAGAGAACCAGTGAGCATTGGGACTGGATCTACCCTGACTGTTGTAACGTTATTAGAACAATATTATATATATTGATCTAAAACAGCACAGGGCATACTGCTAAAAGTTCCTCCTTAACATTCCCCTGTAACAACACAGTTGCCCTTACTGCTGGTTCCTGGTTACTCTGCAGTGCCCTCTGGTGTTACATTTTAATAACACATTATTAATATTACAAGCAATACATTAAGATATATATTCCTTAACTCTTCCTTAGCGTTCTAGATTCAGGTAGGTAGCTGTGTTGGTCTGACACAGTCAAAATAATAAAAAAATTGTCCAGTAGCAACTAAGAGTATCTGAAGAAGTGTGCATGCACACAAAAGTTTATACCCAGAACAAACTTAGTTGGTCTCTAAGGTGCTACTGGACAATTTTTTATTTTTTATTTTCTTCCGTAGTGTTATAAACCATGAGTGTAGACCCACCCTGGGAGTGATATTTGGACTCCCTATATCAGGATAGGGAGATGTTGGCCTGCCAGCTGTTGTTGGACTACAGTTCCCATTATCCCTAACCATTGTGACAGCCTGATGGGAGTTGGAGTGCATAACATCTGGAGGGCCACCAGCCATGACGGTTATGTTGTATCTCCAATGTTAGAGGCAGTATACCAGTTGCTGAGAATAACAATTGGAGAGGCTGCTATTGCATTCTATTTCTGCTCTTTTTAACGCCACAGGTTTTCCATCCCTGCCTTATATCAATAGTCCCAGGTAACAAACAAACAAACAAATGTTCAAGGTGAAGCACTGGCATGATTACATTTTGGGGTTTTAATCTATCCTGTTTCTGTCAGCCATAAGGTATATGTATGTGTCACCTAGCCAAGAACTTGAAAGGATCTGAGATGGGAATTCATTCCAAGATAAGATGTTTCAGCTCTCGAAACCAAGAGGTACCAGGCAATTATTCATCTGGGCAGAACACTTTCAAGTTAAATGAACGAAATTAACCCTGAATACAAAGCCTTGCATGTTAGTTTTGTATATGCAAGACTTACTTTATTAGATGATATTTGGAAGACTGACATCCCAAGACTGAAGAGTAACTATTGGCAGTGTCAGCTCTTCCCACAAACCTGAGAAGATTAGCTCATGACTGTACCAAGGTTGGGTAATTGTATACATTCAGTTTTGAATACTTAGTTTTGCTGCTTTTAGAGGAGAAGACTTGATTAATATGCATGGGTAATTTGTTTGCTTTGTATTAGAGATCACCAGTCAGTCAAGAACCTTCTGTCTGCTGTTGATTAGAAATCAAACAGGAAGTGACATGTCTCAACAGAAAGAAAATGAATTTTTGGAAATAGGTTTGCTACTTTTTGTTCAACAGGAGGGGATGCTTACCTCTTTCCCTGATTGTCACTTCTCCACTTCAAGAAGCAGCAACTATGGTGCTGAAGAAGAAAAAGCCAAGGCCTTAAGGACATAACAAGAGTCTGCGGGATCGGGCCAAGGCCCCATCTAGTCTAGCATCTTATTCTCACAATGGCCAACTAGATCTGGCAAGATGAAGGCACCGTGGGTGAGCAGCTCCCATGTCCAAGAAACTGGTCAACTGCTGGCTCTTGAGGGAGTTTCAACCTGCCTGAAAGAGCAGAGTCACAGTCTGGGGCTGCCTCTGGATCCAGGTCTGTCGCTGGCAGCTCAGGTAGCCGCAGTTGCCAGAAGTGCCTTTTACCAACTGCTATTATTATTATTGGGACGCGGGTGGCGCTGTGGGTAAAAGCCTCAGCGCCTAGGGCTTGCCGATCGAAAGGTCAGCGGTTCGAATCCCCGCGGCGGGGTGCGCTTCCGTCGTTCGGTCCCAGCGCCTGCCAACCTAGCAGTTTGAAAGCACCCCCGGGTGCAAGTAGATAAATAGGGACCGCTTACTAGCAGGAAGGTAAACGGCGTTTCCGTGTGCGGCTCTGGCTCGCCAGATGCAGCGATGTCACGCTGGCCACATGACCCGGACGTGTCTCCGGACAGCGCTGGCCCCCGGCCTCTTGAGTGAGATGGGTGCACAACCCTAGAGTCTGGCAAGACTGGCCCATACGGGCAGGGGTACCTTATTATTATTATTATTAATTACATTTATATATTGCCCTTCATCTGAGAATCTCAGGGCCCTTTACAATATAAAAACACAAAAAATACATTACAAAATGCTTCTGGCCACCCCAATCTCTGCTGAGATTCCAGGGGTCTTCTTGGTGCTTAACCAGGATTTGTGTTCCTTTTGAATAAAGCACAGAAGAGACTAGCGTCTATAAGAAATACGGTGTGTCTTACACATACAACCTGGGCTATGATGGAGGAAGGGCAGAACATTACACCCCAACAGGGTCTCTCATTGCTCCCCTCACAACTTGGGTCCAAAGCAGCAGGCAGTCATGCCCCCGGTCTCTTGGTGCAGCCTCTCCTCGCCAGCATGCATGGAGTTCTGCCTTCTTCCACCTTCTCCTCCCCAGCAACACTTACAGAAAACAACTGCTCAGTTTAAAAGGGGCACATTTCTTCCTGCGGTGACATCACACCCACCGTTACCCTGGCAAACTCCTCCTCCCAGTTTACATCATCAAACAATGAAATCCTAAGCCTGGCATTTGTCTCTGCTCACTATCCCCTCATCGGAGGAGGGGGTCAAACTCCTATGCTGCCTACAGGATGTGTCAATGGCCCATTACTTTCCGTTCTACTACATGATGGTTCTTCTCCCCAGGCCAAGAAACAGATTTCAGCCTGCATTTTTACACCGCTAAGCTGTCTTGCAGCTGGGTTCCCTCCCTGCGAGAAGCGAAGTCACAGGGAACCAGGCAGAGGGCCTTCTCGGTAGTGGCGCCCACCCTGTGGAATGCCCTCCCATCAGATGTCAAGGAAGTAAACAACTATCTGACATTTAGAAGACATCTGAAGGCAGCCCTGTTTAGGGAAGTTTTTAATGATTGATGTTTTAATGTATTTTTAACCTTATGTTGGAAGCCGCCCAGAGTGGCTGGAGAAACCCAGCCAGATGGGTGGGGTAGAAATAATCTATTATTATTACTATTATTATTATTATTATTATTATTATTATTATTATTATTATTACATTTACTAACTCTAGAAATTAGTGGTACCCAGAAGTTTTAGGGGATCTTTGCCTCCTGCAAACCCATAACAATAATAATAAAAAACAAAGCAATACCTTTAAGCAGAGGTTGGATGATCATCTGTCATGGATGCTTTAGTAAAATATTCCTGTATTGCAGTGGGTTGGATTGGATGACCTTCAGGGTTACCACCCAACACAATTCTATGATTCTGTAACAGTTTAAAAAGCCATGTAGAGGGCACATGAAGAAAGGCCTCTGATTTAGACTAGCCTACCAGATGTGGCAAAGGGACGCTGGTGGCGCTGTGGGTAAAAGCCTCAGCGCCTAGGGCTTGCCGATTGAAAGGTCGGCGGTTCGAATCCCCGCGGCGGGGTGCGCTCCCGTTGCTCGGTCCCAGCGCCTGCCAACCTAGCAGTTCGAAAGTACCTCCGAGTGCAAGTAGATAAATAGGGACCGCTTACTAGCGGGAAGGTAAACGGCATTTCCGTGTGCTGCGCTGGCTCGCCAGATGCAGCTTTGTCACGCTGGCCATGTGACCCGGAAGTGTCTTCGGACAGCGCTGACCCTCGGCCTCTTGAATGAGATGGGCGCACAACCCTAGAGTCTGTCAAGACTGGCCCGTACGGGCAGGGGTAGCTTTACCTTTACCTTTTTACCAGATGTGGAATATTAATGTGTGTTTTAATCTGTGTTTATCACTGATTTTAATTTTTTTTTAATGTTTTAAGCAGTTGTTTTTATTGATAACTTTATTCTTTTTGTAAACCACTTTGAGGCTTTTCACAATGAAGTGGTACATAAATTTTGTGAAATAAATAATTTACACCACGTTTGAAGCACATGAGAACTGTAGTTCACACACACCCTGAATTTTCCAACACCCTTAACAAACTACAACTCCCAATATTTGAGTTTTTGTAGGGGGGGGCAACATAGGCTTTAAATGCATAATGCATGGGGTATGCACACAGCCTAGGTTTCAGAGTGTGGGGAACAAAATAGGCAGGTAAATTTCCAGGATTAGCAAAACAGATTGTAATCTCAAAGCATTCTAAACTGACTTTTCCACAGCCCCTCCTTAGAAATCTCTGAAGAAGTTGGCAATGCTTAAATTTCCTTGATCTTATGAGCCTAACCTAGCAGGAAGATTTTAATAACTGCTCTGTGCTATTACTGCCTGTGCCTTGTTTATCACTCTGCAGCACTTAATGGTGATTTCTTTTCATTCCGTTTTTACAACACTGTCTGTCAGAGCACTCTGTACTTTCATGGCATTAAGCAAGCCAGTACTTCCCCTGCCCTCTTCCAGCCTGGAGCAGAAACGAAGGGCATCTCTGCCCTCCAAATCTATTGCATATAGGTTTTATATCAGCTTAACCAGTTTCATTTCTCCCCAAGGATCCTGGAGATTGTAGGGCTAATAATTCTGTTAGTGGCCTAGTGATTGGAATTACAGAGACAACTACCTGAAGGCAGAACTTAAGAACTCCTTTGGTTCTCTTTTCTGGGTTAGAGATCCCTTGCTTTTTTCTTGCAGAACGATTCCTCCCAGGTTCCCTGGCGAGAGGAAATGACCACTAAGCCAGTTTAAGTCTGTGTTGGATAAGCCCTAAAGGTTTACAGGTGCTTCATGGGAATTAGGTCAGTAGCTTTGCTGGAAAAGGGACCGAGAGCGGGTGTGGATTCATCCAAGCAGTGCTATGGTCCTGGAGCCAGATATCAGCTCCCTGGTTAAGAGACCACAGAGGCCTCACTCTGGCAAGGTATGGGGTATCTCATTTTATTATATTCAGCACTTCAAAATATGATTGAGCGTGCGAACGAAAAGCTGATCTTATGAATGCATATTGGTGCTCTTATTGTGGGAGAGCCAAATGTCATGCTGTTGTGTGATTATTTCTAGATATCTGAGATCAAATGTGGCCTACCCTTTTGGGGGGTATACTTTGATCTGCAAAGAGGGAGCAAAGATACAGTGTCATGACTGTGAGTAGGCCGGGGCCTTGGATTCTTCAGCCCTGATGAAATTGCCAGATTGCGTTTTGTCTGCATCCTTTTTTTATATGAGATGCTTTTGATGAATTACTTTGCTGCGAGACCAGTTCTGCATAAGTCTTAGGTCCATAATGCAGTATCCCTGGTCCCGCTCAGCTCTGGGAGGAAACAGGAAGGGTGGGTGTCAACCATAGGTAGGCCTGCATCAACCCCCCTCCCCCCCCCAAAAAAAATAGGATGAAAGATGACAGCATATTTGCATGTGCTAGGTCAGGGGTCAGCAAACTTTTTCAGCAGGGGGTGGTCCACTGTCCCTCAGACCTTGTGGAGGGGCCCCGACTATATTTCGGGGGGGGGGGGAATGAACAAATCCCTATGCCCCACAAATAACCCAGAGATGCATTTTTTTAAAAAGCACACATTATACTCATGTAAAAACACGCTGATTCCTGGACTGTCTGCAGGCTGGATTTAGAAGGCAATTGGGCCGGATCGGGGGCCTTAGTTTGCCTATCCATGTGCTAGTTGATATGTGTAGATGCAAATTCAAAGAGACCTACAATAATTTAAAGTACAATAAAAATCTTATAGTGGGGGACATTCTGAACTGCTGTGCCTGCTGCAGCTTCAAGGCCCCTGTTCTCCATTCGGGCTCTTTTAATTCGGACTTGGGCTGTCCTTTTAATTCAGAGTGAGACACGTGGCTGCTCTTGGCTGCGGTCCATGTGAGAATCTTGGCACCTGTGATTCATTACTAAGGAGGAATCCAAAGTTTCTGAGGAAAGCCCAATGCTGCTCAGCTGAGAGGTGTGGGGGTGGAGAAAAGATTGGTTATCAAGAAGGCGAACAAATGCAAAGAAGCCTGTTAAATAAATCATCTTTTAAATCAACCTTTGTTCATTTGAAATGTAGCTGGTACAGCAGCATGAGAGACTGCAGAAGAAAATTCTGAGGGCAAACTACACAAGCAGGTAAGTTTTTTCCCTGACTCCTCTCCTTCCGATTTTGTTGTGTGTTGTTTTTTTTTTTAAATGATTGCTGGATTTTGGGTCAAGGTTCCTGCCTTATCACTTTCATGTAACTCTGAGAGCTAGAAATTTGTGTGTAATATATACACAAATGATAAGAATCACAGGAATCCATCTGATTCCACATGCTGAAATTTTATTTATTTGTTTAGAGTTTCTCAAATTTGATTACACTATGTTTATTAAAAGTGTGTGCCCCTTTTATTGCAAATTAGCTATGAAAAGAAGGAATAAGCACACATTATGCTGACTGTGCATAGATCATAGGGGAGTGGGATCATGCTTGCTGGCTTCCTAGCCTATGCACACCTGTAAATGAGCTTGCTTGCATTACAGGGCCCTGTCTATTCTGTTCCTGATCGCATTTGGGCTCTCGCACAGGTTATGATGAACATTTGTAGAGGGCAGAGGTGGGACCCATGGGGTGATCCTGCTCCCACCTTCAACAAAACATAGGAAGACCCTATAGATAGTACTTGTCAAGCAAGTGGGCTTGTATTAAGCTAGAACTGCTAGTTTGTTGTTGGAGCTTTTTTTATATAAAAAAATACAGGTATTCGTTTTATTAAATAATATGACTAGGGAGCCAGGGAATCAGCTGTTCAGTGGTAATTAGAATGACAAGAATAATACGTGCAGGGAAGCAGAATGCCACTTAGTCCAATCTTCCACTCATTAACCATCATCTCTTTACATATTAACTACATCATCTAGATTATAGTATACTACCAGCAAAGCAGGGGTGAGCAAAGTACACAATTATTACAGAGCACTGGAATTGTAGCATCATTACTAAGCTGCCCTGCTCCTCTGGAGTGGGGAGCAGGTTCAGCAGAATTTAACTTAGCTTATTAAAAGTAAAGGTAAAGGTACCCCTGCCCATACGGGCCAGTCTTGACAGACTCTAGGGTTGTGCGCTCATCTCACTCTAGAGGCCGGGAGCCAGCGCTGTCCGCAGACACTTCCGGGTCATGTGGCCAGCGTGACGAAGCTACTCTGGCGAGCCAGCGCAGCACACGGAAACGCCGTTTACCTTCCCGCTAGTAAGCGGTCCCTATTTATCTACTTGCACCCGGAGGTGCTTTCGAACTGCTAGGTTGGCAGGCGCTGGGACCGAGCAACGGGAGCGCACCCCGTCGCGGGGATTCGAACCACCGACCATACCACCTATCCCTTGCCCTTGCACAGTGGGAGGACTCAGGCAGAGAACTTTGTCTTTCACTTAGCACTGGGCTTTGTAAAGAGGTTTTGCCCTTACCTCAAATAGAATTAGAGCTCATCTCTCCTCTGAGATCTCCCACCTGAGCCCAATGAGAATATTGCTCCATTTCTGGTTGTCCCCTCAACTCCTTCTAATAGAAGTGTAGTCGATAAGAAACAGAGAGTCTTCTCCGCTGTGGCATCTGGATTATGAAGCATTTGCCCCAGGGAGCTTCATCCGGCTGCCCCCCTCATTGCCTGCTTTTAAGAGGCCACTGAAAAATGTGTTATTTGAGTAGGTGTTTTTCCCATGGTTGTTTCCCCCCTTCTGTTTTTATTCTTTCTGGTTAATTTTTATTCCATTTTATTTAGTTACAATGTGTTAAGATAAAACACGATAAGCTGCCTTGAAGTAGGCATTTTGCCTAGAAAGGAATGTGCATTTTACTATAAATAAACCTGCAAGCAGCATGCATGAGAGACTCCTGTTATTTCTTACCTTTTCCAGACAACAGTTCAAAGGCCTCTTTTCTCAACCCCTCTTCAGTTTACTGTATAGGAACTCCGGGAAAAGAGAGAGGATTTTTTGTGCTATACGCTGGATGGAGGGATGGTTGCCATTCATTTCTTCTGGCGACCAGATTTGTGGAATCCTGCCTATGAATTCTATGCTTTCTTTCACCATACTTCATCATATGCCTAAGATTTGCTTTCTCACACTGGGCTCACACTGCTGGCTCTGCTGAATAAGCTCCACACTATCCCCGATTTCTGTGTGTTATCTATAGTTATCTGCAGGGGGGAAGACAACATGCATAGGCGTCCCCCCTAAAGACATCCATGACTAGCATGTGGACATCAGGAGTACAGCTGAGAGATGCCATGTGGCTTTGAAAGCAGGATCAGTGGCATGGCCCCACTGCCCCTTGGACACACAAATAATGAGGGAACTAAGCTGTCACTGTAAGAGATGCTGTGGTCCTCACCAGCCCTGTGATAGCCTTGGCTAGTTGGTGATTCAGTCAATATGTGTTTGTGCTGTACAAGAGACCTGAAGCAAGTGTGAGTTGCTATGTGCAAATGAGAGGGAATGACAAACAATTTTAAAAAATCATTAATGAGTAGCTTGTGTCTTTTATTCTAGTAATGTGCGATGTCTACATAGTATTTTCAAAGAAAAACTTTGCTAAAGTGCTATGAATAATCAGGGCATCAGTTTATCTCTCAGAGAAAAATAATCCAGATTAATCAGTATCTTCTTCTCTGTCCCCACAAAAAAATCAAAACCTGGAATTCTCTCTGTATTTCTATAATTGTCCTGGTTCTTTTTATGAGCACCTTCTTTGGCTCATTTCACTGGACTAGTTTTCCTTAAACAAGGCTCTTTTTCCTTCCATGAGCATCTTTGCCAACAGAGTAATATTTATTTATTTTTATCCCTTGTGACAGAAATGATGTCTCCTCTTCGGCCCAGGGAATGCAAACTGACCAGAAAAGAGGCAGAGAACTATGGATTCTGTCTGCGCCTTGAGAAATATAAAACAGGGCACCTGATCCGGAATGTGGCAAAGGGGAGTCCAGCTGAGAAGGCTGGCCTGAAAGATGGAGACAGAGTCCTGAGGGTCAATGGGATTTTTGTAGACAAAGAAGATCATGGAACGGTATAGAACAATTTCATTTGGGGGCCCTTTCTGCTGCCAGACAAACAGGAAATATTGGTACATCATGCAGCCTGATCCCAGACTCATCAATTTAAAATCTTTACCTTTCAAAAAGCTCAGGGTGCCTTACATTGATTTAAACTGATAAAACAACCATCAGCACCACCACCTTGATCATGTGCAGCAGCAATAATATTATTCAGCAATTGCCCGTCTCCTCTGTTAAAAGTCTGGCAGTTCCCAAAGGCATTTCTAAATCATAAAATCATAGTGTTGGAAGAGGGACCTAAGGATCATCTAGTCCAACCCCCTGCAATGCAGGTGGCCCATATGGGTATCGAACCTGAAACATTGGCATTATCAGCACCATGCTCTAACTGACTGAGCTAACTACGATGAGGAACATGACTCCTTAGCCCAGGGGTGGCTAACCTGCAGGTCGGTGGCCTGATCTGTCCCCTCCAACAATTTTTCTGCCCACCTAAGATCCTACCAGTTTGGGTGACATCAACAAAAAGGGGGAGTATGAGAGTATGGGATAGCTCCACCAACTTTTAGTCACACCCATCGTGGACATGTGGCCTCTGAGGGGTTAGCCAAGGGTGAATGTGGCCCTCAGGACTTAGCCCCAGGGCCATGACTAAAAAGGCCATGCTTCTAGCCATAGGCAGCCTCTCTTTTCATGAAACATGCAGCAGGGCCTTTTAATATTGAGAGCAGCCTTAACTGGCAAGCAGTTTATACAGACTGAACTGCTCCCTGTGACATGTTTGTCCCATTACATTTAATAAGATTTACTCCTGGGTAACCCATGTGCATAGGGCTGGAACCTTTGGGCATATATAACTTGCAGGTCTCCACTCACAGCACTACAGTTTCCTAGAGAGGAATTGAGTATTAAACCCATTTGTATCCGTAGTGTAGATATTAGAGATTTGCTACACCAAACGTTTTCTGTCCCCCCCCCCAGCATGAGCACCCAGAGGTAACTTTATGGGATTCCTGGATTGTGACTACTCTATTTTGTCCCCAATATGTATTGCACGTATCCTTCAGTCTCCTTTGTCAGTAGGTCTCCTCTTGTACAAGGCAACAGGAAATACCTAGATGAGCTATTTTACTACTACCTGTGATTACTACTGAAACGCTCATTCTGCCCCATACAGGTGGCTGATTTAGTTAGGGAAAGTGTGGACTCTGTATCATTCCTTGTTTTGGATGAAAAATCTTATGAAGATGCACATAAGGAAGGGGTCAATTTTGAAGAGTTGGGTCAAACATTACCAGTCCAGCAGCAAGCAGAAAACACTTCAGTTGTGACAAATGGAGAACCTGGCCCAGTTACACATCCCCGCCTCTGCTATCTGGTGAAAGAAAAAAACAGCTATGGCTTCTCTCTGAAGACAACGGAAGGTGAGAACAATAAGCATAGACAATGCACATGTAGCAGGGACGCGGACTTATAAAAATATTGGGGGGGCCCGGGAAAGCTCATGAATAATAAATAAGCTCATGAATATGCAAATAAAGTGGCTCCGGCCCTAAATAGGGCAAGCCACGCCCCCCAGCCAGCCGATTGGCTGGATGGGAGGTGTGGCCAGTCGGGATTCCCCTGTTCTCGCGGGGGCTGAAACCGCCAGGAGGAAGGAAATTCCCCCCGGCAGTGCCTTGGCAGTGGCGGTGGTGCTGCGAAGCAGCGAGGCAGGAGCCCCCACCCCCGGCGCCCGAGATTATTGGGGGGGCTGAGCCCCCCAAAAAATTTTTGAGGGGGCTCGAGCCCCCTCAAGCCCCATGGAGTCGGCGCCTATGACATGTAGCATTATATAATATGCATTGTATGCATTCTGGAGAGGGCGGTGGGCTTGGTATTTCAATACAATTTCTTTATGTTGCTTTCATATAAAGCACATGTTCCCAAGCCCTTTGTTGAAGACCATTATTTGGATTGTGAGTTATCATGGTAATGATATGAAAAGGTATTCGAATTATTCTGAAACGCTGCTGAAGTGCCAGAAGGAACAGCACAAACCTTCTGGAAATATAAAGGCTTTGGTTGGAAACATTTCAGCTACAGGGGCAGGCTAGCACATACATTTTCCCCCTACATCTGATTCACAGCATCTGAGTGGTTTTCCATTGAAATGAGATGTGAGGCAGCAGAGTGTAGCATTTTAGGGGGTGAAAATTAATTTTGGCAAATTTCTTCAGTGAGGGGTCTTAAAATTATGTTTTTGGGTGTGAGAAATACAAATCTTTTTGGGACTGGACAACATTTAGCTTGGTAAGTCTACATTTGATGAAGACGCAGATAAGCTGCTTTTGGAAAACAAAAGATTTTAAATTTTACCTTCTGAAAATCTCAAGTAATGTGGAATAATAACAACAACTAATAATAATAATATAATATGACTGCAAGTACTTGGCAATGAAAGTGTCTTCCACAATAACAGCAAGAGAACTGAGGTGGATGCAATATATCTGCTTTTTGTCACAACTCTTAAAAATTATATCCAAGGGTATAAAGAAAGATCTCTATCTAGGTATTTTTACCATGTTTCATGCTGGCAGTCACTGGGACATTTTGTAACTGCCCAAGAAAGACTTGTTCCTTTCAAGACAGGAAGCACTTACATTTGGCAATACAATCATAAGCCAGGTGCTAATAAACAATGGGAAAACAAGTAGTATTTAATAAGCAACTATTCTTGCTGGTGGCAATCATCAACCAGCATAAACAAGTATAATAATCTTCCCCATGGCAGTATTGAACATGGCATAAAGGAAGGTTGGGCTTCAGAGGGTGAATGGCTTCCCTCTTGAATTCCTGGGGCATAGAAAGCAGACATGGTTATTTCCAGCTGGATCACAAGTTTACTGCCATTTCATATGTTCCTTGAACAAAACGTCCCAAGTCTACAGGGCTCCTATTGTTATGCCATTGCTGAGTAACACAGAACATGGCGAGTTATTTAGTCCTGGTTCTGTCTATTCCAGGTCACAAGGGATTGTTCATTATAGATTTGGCCCCACAAGGACCAGCTGCATTAGCCGGAGTGCAGCCCAATGACCGCCTGATCGAAATCAATGGAGAGAATGTGGAAAACGACACTCATGAGGAAGTAGTCGAGAAGGTATCTCCAAGCCTAAACCTCAAGACCTCAGCCTCCACCCTGTTCCTCAATCGTTGGTTAGGTTTTCCCCCACAGATCTAAGATTGTGGTCCTGAATGAATGCAGGCAACCATTTTCCCAGTGTTAACTCATCACAGTACAGTGGTACCTCAGGTTAAGAACTTAATTCATTCTGGAAGTCCGTTCTTAACCTGAAACTGTTCTTAACCTGAAGCACCACTTTAGCTAATGGGCCTCCCGCTGCTGCCGCTGCGCAATTTCTGTTCTCATCCTGAAGCAAAGTTCTTAACCCGAGGTACTATTTCTGGGTTAGCAGAGTCTGTAACCTGAAGCGTCTGCAACCTGAAGTGTCTGTAACCCGAGGTACCACTGTATGTATCTGTCTGCTTAAGCATAGGAACGTAAGCTGCCAAAGTCAGACCGTTGCTCCATATTACTTGGAATTATCTATATTCACTGGCAGTTGCTCTTCAGGGTTTCAGGCCTGTCCTACCTGGAGATGCCAGACATTGAACCTGGGACCTCCTGCATGCAAAGCAGATGCTCTACCACCGAGTTTCATTAAGCATGACAGGTGATTGACAGGTGGGTTGCCCTGGCCATCTGTTAAAGTTGGCCCCAAAAGATCTCCCACCTCTGCGGGTGGCGCTGTGGTCTAAACCACTGAGCCTCTTGGCCTTGCCGATTGGAAGGTAAGTGGTTCGAATCCCCATGACAGAGTGTGCTCCCATTGCTCTGACCCAGCTTCCTGCCAACCTAGCAGTTTCGAAAGCACACCAGTGCATGTAGATAAATAGGTACCGCTGTGGTGGGAAGGTGAACGGCGTTTCCATGCGCTCTGGCTTCTGTCACGGTGTCCTGTTGCGCCAGTAACGGTTTAGTCATGCTGGCCATATGACCCGGAAAGCTGTCTGTGGACAAATGCCAGCTCCCTCAGCCTGAAAGCAAGATGAGCGCTGCAACCCCATAGTCGCCTTTGACTGGACGTAACTGTCCAGGGGTCCTTTACCTCTACCTATACCCATGTGCCTTCCATGTGAGTAATGTGTGAACAGAGCTTTTAGGCAAGGCTTATTGCATAGCCTCTAAAGTATTTAACAGCTAAAACTTATTTCTAATAGTTTCCCCAGCCCAGCCAGCCCATCCACAGGGCTGAGTGACTGGTGTCTAGCTATCTACTGTCATGCCTTCCACTCAAGTTGTATAAGTAGTAGATTTAGTGCTGAAAAATTTGTGTTAGTGTTAAGTACTCAGATCCAATGTGAATAAATAGTTGGGCCATGTCTGAATGTGGAAGAGCAATCGAACATACACTCCAGACACTGTAGGATTCATAAATGCAGTTCAGAACAATTTAAGCCTCACTTATGAAAATGCCACCAGAAAAGATGTTTTGTGCTTTTCCAAGGTCACCTCATCCACATCAGCACTTTGCATATAAAATGCTCCTCAGCCCTGTCCCACTGTTTGACATGGCTGAAGCATGGCTCTAAGCATTGTATGTCTGTGTTCCCAGGTGAGGAGGTCTGGAAATCGACTTGTGTTTCTGGTGTCAAATAAAGAAACCGATCAGTATTACAAGAGCCAGAACATGCAGCTGAGGAGAGAAATGGCAAGTTTGAAATTATTACCCCACAAACCCCGAAGGCTGGAGCTTGCAAAAGGAAAAAATGGTTATGGATTCTACCTGAGAATGGAACAGAATGGTAAAGGTATGATCTATCTATATATCTTATAACATTTATGAAACACCTTATCCCATACAAGTGTGATTAATATGTGCAAAAATGATAAAATTCATTAAAAATCGCATTTGTGCCACGGCTCTCCATTTGTGGAATACACATTTATATATCAGGCAAAAACATTCTTCTTCAACCAGGCCTTTGACTAACGTCCTATATCCTTTTAAATGTGCTCATAGGGAGGGAGGGAGGGGTTTTGTTTGTTGTTGTTGTTTTCTTGTTTTTATTATGTATTTTGTGTTTTTTCTCTTGTAATTTTATGCTGTTAACTGCCCTGAGAGCTACAGATGAAGGGTGGCATACAAATTTAATAAATATATAAACAATCACATTCACTCAGTAAAAGGTAATTCAGCAGCAGCAGCAAAAATAACTGCTAGACATCCCCCCCCATATGACTGTGTGAACAGATGTGCTTTATGCTGTCATCTTAAAAATGGCAGGTGGGGATAGAGCATTATTTATTTGGTCTAATCCAGCCTGGATCATCTAATGTTCTTAATAGAAAATGATTTTCCTGAGTTCATAATCAAACAGAATTCGGATCTGAGAAATCTGGAGCCCAATCAATTTCTCTCCTTCGCTTGGAAAATGCTGCAGTGCCATTTGGCTGCTAGTGTAAATCGCACTTCTTGAGAAGGCAGCATTCTGTGAGGTAGTCAAACAACATTAAAAGCCCTAAGCCACAGGTATGGTCTTAAACGAAAACCCACTAAGGCACTTTACCAAGTATCAGGCCTTTCTTATTTTTGTGTACAGGTCACTTAATTAAGGACATTGATTCTGGCAGCCCTGCAGCCGAAGTTGGTCTCAAGGACAACGACATCCTGGTGGCTGTCAATGGAGAGTCGGTTGAAGCACTGGACCACGAGGCTGTCGTGGAGAAGATCAGGAAGTCTGGTGAAAAAACTGTGCTGCTGGTGGTTGATGACGAAACCGACGCCATGTACAAAATGGTAACAGACACAGTTGCACACAAGCACGACTAACTTGGAAGTCACATGATGAGCAAAACGATGGGGGTAACCAGACGGCTGCAGCTACCTGTAGTTACATAGTGCAAGCATAGAAATTGGTAACATATGCAGAGAATGCCAACTTTAATTCTTTTTATAAGCAAGTTTCTAGGTTGGAAGGATTAGCCTGAAAGTCTGGCGGAGATTCAGAAGCCACAGGTGGAAGCTGAGAACGCTTGGCAGGGCGTGGAACTTCCTACATTGCTATATTTTCCCTCCCCTTTTGGCAAAATGACTCATACCAAATTAGCAAATATATACCAGCTCCTCTTTTCCTGGAGCAGAATTCTGATTATCTGTATGCAAACTTTCAATTTTTGAAAAATGCATGGAATATTGCCAGCTGAACATATAGGCACCAAGTAGGTATAGATGCATTTATATTACTTTGCTTATGTTATAAATTGTTGGAGGCTATTTGTGGGTTTTTTTTGGGGGGGTAGATATAAAGTATTTAATGACATGACTCAAAGCAGAGTAAAATGTTCACTCCTTCTTCAACAGTTGGAGGGTCAAAATGTCATAGAGCCAGTTTATTCCACCCACACAAGTTCCAGCATCATTCTCTGCAGTGTGCTTATAAATTGATAGGATATAGGGAACGGAGGAAAGGAGGGACTGAATGTATCACCTGCTATTACGGAAGAGAGAAGCAAGAGATTTGCAAATATTTAGTGGCAAATATTGCTCATTATATCCCAAAATGTGTGAGGGAGGTTTTATCGTCACATGATGTTTGGTAGCAATGTGTATTTTGCAATAAATGCTTTTGTTTTTCTGTTGGTTACTAAGGCTAAGATATCCCCATGCCTCTACTATCACACACCGGTGCAATCTCCATGTGAGGCTGAAGTGCCAACATGTCATACGGCGAAAGAGCATCACAAGCCCAGACTCTGCTATCTGGTAAAGGGTCCCAGTGGCTTTGGCTTCCGTTTGAATGCCATCAAAGGTTTGCCTGGCCAGTTCATCAAAGAGGTATTAATCCAATCCATATGCTGGTGAAATAAACATGATGCCAAATATGAGCAGCAGTTGCCCAACCCTTCTGCTCCAGAGGTGCACAATGCAGGGACCACTTTCAGTCTAGCCTTGCCCCAGGCTTGCACATTCCCCACCCCACTTTTTGCTGCTGCATGGCCACAAGGAGGAGCATGAAAGACTCACAATATTAAGAGTTGAAAGGGGGCCCATGAAAGAAGCTTTTAAAATTATTTGAATTTATATAATTACAGTTATAGCAAAAAAAAGTCACCCATTCAGTGCATATATTACATCATGCATAGGTTAGACATCAATGCCAGTTCTCTTTTATGATGCAAATTCTGTTAAAGAATACAAGGAATCAAAGTTTTCTAAACAATTTGTATTATTTATTCCATTCCATAACTGTTTAGATCACAGTCAATTACTCAGTACTGTTATGCCCCAGATTTTTTTCCTCACCACTGATCTATTGACAGCATTCTATCCGTTTTTCATGCCATAGTAAGCAGATGCAAGCATATGAAACCCCAAACCTGTGCATTGCACAGTATCTTGATGTTTCACGAATTGCCACCAGAAATCAACAGCCAGTTATTTCTTTGACATTTACTTGAATTCCCTCCAAATCTTGCGATGTCTTATTCTCATCGTTTTTTAACTTCACGTCAAACCTTCTCTCGGGACCTTATCCATTTCTGTGCTACCACTTCTTTTGTGCCACCTGCTAGCTAAGAATGTGACCATTGATTTTGTTTTCAAACTCCCATGCTCTAAATCCACATGCGAAAATAAATAAAAGTAAAAACCGCTCTCTGAAGCATCACTACAGCTGTGCTTAAAAGAGGGTGGGTGGTGCTTCAGAGAGAGGTTTGGCAAAGTGCTCTCTGAAGAGCTCCCCCAGCTAAACATCACTGTAGTCATATTTAAAGGAAGGTTGGGGTGAGCTGGGAGGGGGTAGGGTAGGGGTGGGTGAGGAGTAGGGGTTGGCCAGATAAAAATGTTGGCAGGTAGATGGGTTGGTGAGCACAGCAAGCAATGGCAGCACCCCCTGGGAAGGAAATACCATCTCACTATTTTTAACTATTGCATTTCATTAATTGTATCTTCACAGTGTACAAAGCTTCCTAGCCTGCAGTAATTTAGCGGTCAGAACTACCCTTACCATACCCTGCCCACCCACTCTCAAGCAATAAAATGCCTGGCTTTTTAATACGATATAATTTCAGGTAAAGGAGGGTGGCCCAGCAGAAAGAGCAGGGCTGCAAATCGATGACATCTTAATAGAAGTCAACGGTGCAAACGTGGAGAATGAAGATTATGACGATGTCGTGGCAAGAATCCATGATGGTGGAAACAAGCTGAAACTAGTAGTGTGTGGGGAAGAAGCTTATCGGCACTTCAAGGCCCAGAATATGCCTGTCACTGCCCCCATGGCAGATCCACCAGACAGCAGTAGTGACCCTCCTGCTTACACAGAGATACAAGCCCCAGAGCCAGATGGACCATTGCCAGAACCACGAGAGAGGGTGAGTTACCTTATTTATAAAGGCTGAGGAAAGGGATCTGCTCAAGGTTGCAGTCCTAAGTTTGCTTATTTGGGCAAAAACCTACCGTATTTTTCACTCCATAAGACGCACTTTTTTCTTCCTAAAAAGTAAGGGGAAATGTCTGTGTGTCTTATGGAGCGAAAGTGTGGTCCCTGGAGCCGAATTGCCCGGGGCGAAAAGCAGATCATGCTCTTTTTTTTTTGAAAGAGGGAAGTGGGTGTTGAAACAAAGTTGCTGATCGGCAAGCGATTGGGAGGGAGATAAGGCTGCTGGTAAAGGAGGCTGCCGGGGGAGGTAAAGACAGCAAACTTGCAAGGAGAGGAGACAGGAATACTAAAGCAATGAGGAGAGAAATTAGAAGAAAATGAGGAGCAAAAAACTGCTCCCGCTAAGGAAAAGACACTAAGGCAAACTAGAGGGAAGGGGGTGTTGAAAGGAAGCAGCTGAGCAGCTGATTGGCAAGGGATTGGGAGGGAGATAAGGGACTCTAAAGGAGGCTGCCTGGGAGGGGGAGGTAAAAGCCCTTGGATCCTCAGGATTTTTGCATTGGGTCACCCCAAATTTACCATCAGATCACATGGCATGTCCATGGCTACAGCCTATATAAAAAAAAATCACACATACACTGTTGTGTGGGCCCACAATGGCGCAAAAACATGGTTACAAAGCATGGATCCACACGGATCCTCAGGAGTTTTGCACTGGGTCACCCCAAATTCACCATCAGATCACATAGCATGTCCATGGCTATAGACTGCACCAAAAAATCACACACCCACTGTTTCGTGGGGCTGCAATGGCGCAAAAACGTGGTTACAAAGCACGGATCCACATGGATTCTCCAAAATCACCGTCAAATCACATGTCTGTGGCCACAGCATGAACCACAAAAATCATACATCCACTGTTTCGTTCAGAATATTTTTTTTCTTGTTTTCCTCCTCTAAAAACTAGGTGCTTCTTATAGCCTGGTGTGTCTTATGGAGCGAAAAATACGGTGAATTAAATCACTGGTATTCTGTTCCAAATTTATATGGCTAGGTTGCAAATAAGTGGTCCTATGATTTGGCCAGAACAACTATGGACATGGCATGGCTGGGCTTGTGCTCAGACTATGCTTAAATCACAGAATGACTAAGCCTTGTGGTTATACTGCTAATAATGCTCAGTTATTGCTGTTTCTTCTGACCTGGCTTGCACGTAACTTTAAGCCAAACCAAGGCTTAGCATGAACAAGCAAATGTGCTAGTTCCGGGGGGGGGGGGTGTTGTGCCCCCAGCACTCTTCCCCCAGCCCTGCTGCTGCTACGCTCCTTAGAGCTAAGCTATGGTTTGGCTGAGTGTTACATTTTTTCTGGGTTTCCTGCTCATTTCTTGTTCGTGCAAACTGGGCCAATATTCTAGACTAGATCAGACTGCTGCTGGGAGCGTTTCTTACTTGTTTACTGTTTTTTCCCCTCTCTAGGCTAACTCGTCCTCCTCTTCACTCTCAGTTGCTTCTGAAGAAGATGATACCAAATTGTAATGCCAGGGGCAAATACCTTCCAATGGTAGTGCCCAAAAGGGAATAGTATTCTGAAGCAGAGTTACAAATATTACTGCTTAGAAAATGTTGGCTACTCTCTTGTGCATGCTTACTTGAAACAAAGGCCCATTGAACAAACAAGCATGTATAGAATTGGGCTGCTAGATAACATGGCTTTCAGGTGAGGAAGGGATCCTACTGGATTCCTACCTCATTTTTGTTAAGCTGCAGGCTTTTTCCATGTGGACCAGGACTGCATGCATTAAAATGTTGATTGCAGCGAAAGCTTCCTAACGGAAAATGGTGAGTGAATACCTACTATGCATATGTACACTTACTATATCCCAATTAAATCAATAATCATTCTTACTAACATTTATTCCTCATATAATTTGAACCATTAACCAAAGCAAATATTAATGTGTAGTCATTTTAGTACAAACTAATTTTAGGCTTTGTTGCCCAACATTTGAACACTTTGAAAACACTGCAGTGTATCAGTTATGCACTGGCATATCTACATTGGTTGCTTTCACAGTATTAATTCCATTTTAAGTTTTGAAATAAATTGTTTCACGGTAGTCTGATCTGTGTCTGCAGCGTTTCTGATATACAGAATGTGAAAGATTCTGTTCCTGCAACCTACCATTTGACCAGAACCCTCAACCAACTTTTGCCTCTTTGATAGCAGATGAGGTCAAACAAGGTGCCTTAACAAAAAGGTGAACCAACTTTAGACTACAAAATGCATACACATGAAGATACATGGCTAAGGTTTTTATTTCATTTTTTATCATACTTGCTGTCCTTTTTTTATTTCCCACATATGGTAGATCCCTTGACCTCCTCTAGCAACCCTCACCCAAATCTTCTACAATTCCAAACCTTCATCCATGCATTCTGCCCCCTTGCTGCATCAGGTGGTCTTTCACCTTTCTCTTCAGCCCACGGCCCTCTCTGCCATGTGCTGTGCGGAGGAGGCAGAAGAAGCCGCTGCTGCTCAGTTTTCAATCACAGTCTGATTGGTGGAGGGCTCCCTATTCTCTTCCATAAACAGAAGCTGCTGTCCCAATAGTTGAATCAATCAGCACTAAGTCTGGCAACTGTTTCCCCATCAGAAGGGGTGGCAGAGAAAAAGTTCATAGATCATTCTTGCTGGGGGGGGGGGAACAGGGTGGAGCTGCAGGCCTTTATTGATTGCTTCTTTCAGGCGTTTCCTCTGCCCCTTCTTCAGTCTGTTCATGCATATTAGAAGAGAGCTTTTGAATCTACCTAACTAAAACGTGACCATTTTTAATCCATGTCTCACTGAGCTGCCTTATCATTGCCCTGAGTATTCACTTCCTAGCCATATGGAGGGTTTCTCTGATACACATAATTCTGGGATCAAGAGGTAGGTTTCATCAGCAATATGTTAGGTTACACTGGGATCCACAAGAAGGAAAACAAACATCATATATGTAATATACATAGGAATATTTGCTATCAACTTTCTGCATTTCTCCTTACAATATGGAATAGAAATGGATAAGGACTGAGCTAAGATCCAATGAAACAGCAAAGGGGCTGAGATATACCTTCTTTGACGAGGGCTACACAGCCCACTAATGATACAGTGGCATGCCAGCGCTAGACAGGGTAGGAACAAAACCCTGGCAAGCAACATTCAGTTTGATTGGTCACAAGCTGCCCAGAGCTGCTTTTGAAATATCCAGACCCTTGTTAATTCACCACTCTTCATTCCATCTTCGGAGAAGTAACTCATTTCCAAAGTCTGTATGTAGGGTTATCACAACAATATTGTGAATTGTTATAAAAGCTGGTTTATTTAGATGTTCAGTTCCAGAATCACTACTTCCAGATTAAGACATTTAAGCAGACATCTTGCCAGTCACACTTACTAAACATCACAGAATTGTTTCTTCCCATTCTGCTTTAGAGAGAGCTGCCCTTTCACTCCTTGTGATTTATTTCCACTCAAGGACATGCTTATAGCACAAGGGTTGTTTCTTGGGGCGATTTCTTGCCTCTCCTTTTGCCTACGCTGACATATTTGGTTCTTGTCCAATCCATCACAAAAAAGATGGCAATATGCCAAATACTTTGCTTTTGTCCATCACAAAGTAAAGAACCAAGATGGATTCAGAGTGCCATGTGCTTTTCAGGAGCCTGCTTATGCGCCAGGTAGAGGAAGAGGATGCTGGAGAGAGCACTGACCAGAAATATAACATCAAACCAGCGGTGGTAGAAGTTAAACTGTAATTCTCCTAGAACTTCCGTAATGATGGTGCGATACTCTGGAGGCATACTCATTCGAATCAGAAGCACTGAAGACACAAAATACATCCCCTGCAGAAGAGAGAAAGGAAACATCAGGCATCCCCATCTCCAGCTGCTTACATAGCTAAGAGTGGGCAAGAAGTAGCTGTTCACCATTTGGGGCTAAAACACTCACCATTATTTGTGCCAATAACAGAACAATGACATTAGAAGACTTGCTGCTTGAGATAGCATAGAAAAACTGGAAGACAAAACACAGAAAACCATCTATATATAATCCAATATGTTGTTCTAAGTACAACATTCCAATTAAATTTCAAAGGACAGTAGAAAGGCTATTCTGTTGCATAATGTCATGGCTTTCTAACCATCAAAATGGTCCGTACAACTCCTTAGCTATCCAAGAGAAGCAGTTCCAATTCCAACAGTCACTTATATACCCATGTTAAAGACACACTGGAAGCATTCTCTTGCCCTCACCAGTGAAGAATGTGGCTCAGGGTGGGAGAGTTGTTCAGCATGTCAACACAAATCATGAGGTTGGAACTACATGCTACGCAGCCTTTCTCAACCTGTGGGTCCCCAGATGTTGTTGAACTACAACTCCCATCACCCCTAGCTAGCAAGGCCAGAGCTCAGGGATGATGGGAGTTGTAGTCCAACATCTGGGGACCCACAGGTTGAGAACCGCTGTAAGGGGAAGGAGGGGATCCAACCTTGTGGTGCTGCTTTTAGTGTTTGCATGTGTTGTGAGTGTTGTGTGGTTCTGCCCCAAAATTCTTAAGAGCTACGTTCTGATGAACTCGCATTTTTCTGCTTATAATCATTATATATAATAAGAATATGTACAGGCCTACCTTTGTGAGTGTAATCAATAAACCCCTGATAGAGGTGACAATAATTATTCCAACAAGGATAAAGGAAATATGCTGAGACCAGAATTTTACCTGCAATAACACAGAAAGGAAACAGTTAAGCTCACAGAGATGCTCATATCTACAGAGTATGGATTTAGTAGGCTGCTTATTTTCAGATATTGTTTATACATTCAGTGTCCTCTGAAGAAGTTCAAGCAAGAATATTTTCATATAAACCTATAGCAGATAAACCAAGAGGTCTTACCAGGTTGGTGTACACAACACTGGATTTAAACTTCTTTTTAGAGTGACTAAAGGTGTATAGGTGTTTAATCTAGGCCAATGCATTCTCTAGTACCTAAGATAGGAGTACTGCCATCTTCTGGGCAAACAGAAGACTGGAACTTAAATTTTAAAGATGCATAGTTCTATTGAAAACCCAGTGATACATATGGATTTTCCAAAGTTTTAGAATCACTCATTTCAGTACCCACAGAGATTTTTAGAAGTAGTTAGCACATTGAATTAATATCCAGCTCAGAACAGAGTAGAATGATATAAGAGTAAAGGAAAACTGAAGAAAGAAGGTGGATTTTAAAACAGTCCTCACATCAAACTGGATCCCCAAATAGTTCACAGTTATCTCAATTCCTCGTGTGACTGGGTCCGTCTTTCCAACTCTGTCAAATACAATATTGATTGTTGCCTGATGATGAGAGAGAAAGAGGCATCATATTACTTAAGCTACCTTCACTAAAAACATCACAAATACACCACCACTTTCACGGGAAATTGCTCAGCATGGTATACAGGCTACAAAGCATGGATGTGCATGCACATGCACATGCATGCACACACACGCACAAACACAAAGAGACAGCCAATACTGCCCAGTGATACTATGTAGTTATAAGATGGACATCGCACTCTGGCCTTAAAATCTGTCTTACTGAAATTCAACGAGAGGTCAATTTTAAAAACTGCCTGAACTCTAGTTGCTGAATAATATTTACCGTATTTTTCGCTCTATAAGACGCACCAGACAACAAGACGCACCTAGTTTTTGAAGGAGGAAAACAAGGAAAAAAGAATTCTGAATCTCAGAAGCCAGAACAGCAAGAAGGATCGCTGCGCAGTGAAAGCAGCAATCCCTCTTGCTGTTCTGCCTTCTGTGATAGCTGCGCAGCCTGCATTCGCTCCATAAGACGCACACACATTTCCCCTTACTTTTTAGGAGGGAAAAAGTGAGTCTTATAGAGCAAAAAATACGGTACATATTAAGATTCCAAAATGCAGAAATCTCTCCTTCCAAGCACAGCCTTTACAAAATATAAACTGCCATTCCAATGGCACTGATACATACCATAAAAATTTTCCAGACGCAGTAGATTGAGAAAAAGTAGCCCAGAAAGTTAAAGTATTTCCCTTGGAATGTTTTAGAGTATTCTATCCTCTCCTGCAAGAAGAAAATGTTCAGGTTCAGGAGGCATCCAGATGCATTCTAAAACCAGCACATCATATCTCATGGGTTTCTTGTCATGAAATAAAACAATTTCCATCTCATACAGACCATGTAACAGAAAAAGCAAGCAGGCCCCTTTACAGATGAAGAATCTGTGCTGCCAGAGCCATGTTTGCATAGGCCCTGGAGTGTCAAGTGACACAACAGAATAAGCCCAGGTCTCCAAGCTTCCAGGAATGCCCTTAATGTTACAACAACATGCATGCTCTCCCTTTCAATAAATTTCAATAAGGCACACATATTGACCACTTGATGAAGCCTTGATTAATAAAGGGAAGCACACCTGCACTGATCACTATCTACTTTTAGGCACCCGGCAAAACTTTGTCTCTTCCACTAAGCCATGGACCTTGAATTATCTACTAAAGTAGGTGGGATGTGTTATGAATGTATTTTCGACTTTTACTCTGCTTTAGTTTTATGTTGCTTTTTAAAAGTCACTTTGAGTTAGAATTTTTTAAAAGTGATCAAGAAGTGCAAATAGCAATAATATGGACAAAAATATATCTAGACTGGGATAACCAAATGCAACATAAAATTGTGATTTACTCTAGTGGACATGATCCCAGAGAAGGCTAATGGCTACTTATCAGAGTATCATAAAGCTACGTCTCCTGTATCATGTTCGCTTGCTGGTAGATTTCTAAAGTCTTTTTTCCCTTTCACCCACCCAATCAGGCATGAGAACAGTCCCCCTTTGCCTGCACCTTGGTAGCATGCAGGTCAGCAGTTTCCAAGAAAAGCTGCTGACTCAGCTCCTCCAAAGCATCTACCTCCTGCTGGATAACTGCCAGATCTGGTAAATGACAGTTGTCAAGGACAAAATCATGTATAATACCATCCAAAAACAATACATATTTCAATGTTCCTTTTCATTCCTGAGCCATCGCATGAAAAAAAAGCCTTGACATTTTCTGAAATAACAGGTCCTTTACTTTCTAACTCCTGGGCTACAAATCAGAAACTGTACACTGCTGCCACCTGCAGGATTACAACTGATGATGCACGCTGTATACTAAAATATACATATAGCAATACTAATCCAAGGCAGCTTATCGGTCCCCTGAAAATCATGTTGCTGTGTGTTTTCTGCCTCATGTCACTGGGTATATCCAGCAGACAGGAAAAAGCACAACTGTCATTGCAGTCAGGCAAGGAGGCACATAGAAGGGAAGATAACAATGCATGGTACTGATATATTGGGGCTACATCCATGCCTAGTTCCATATTTCCCATCAGCCAACATCTACGATAATTTCTCACTTATGTAGAAGTGGGCATGAGCATAAGTGCCCCCACTAGATCAGGCTCTGGGTCTTAGGCTTGAGTTAAGAGTTGTTCACTCTGAGGTATGCTAATCTCAAGGTAGGGGATTCTGCATAGTCTGTAATCTGCACAATAGTAAACGGGATCCTTACATTTCCCCCTTTTCCTTTTATCTTAACTCAGCTCCATTATGGTTTCCCCCTTTCCCATTCCCCAAAGTAGAACAAAGGGAATAAAGGATACTTTCGCTGCCTGGTGAAGATGATGCCACACTTTTTATCATCCCCCAGAAACCAGTGGGCTTGTTGTTAACTTCCCCTCTCTGGAACATGTTTCTGTGAACCATCGCTATCCTGATTGGGAGGAAAAGTCAAGTGCTAAAAAAGAGAGATACAAACTAGAACCAAAAACAAATCATCACATTTCAAAGTTTAGATTTTTCAAAATCTGGAATTCAAAACACTGCTGTCAACGTAACAGACGAACTTTTGAAAAAGTGTATATTAACACAATTCAGGAAAGTGGTAATCATGCATTTCCTAAGCAATATCAGTAGCTGACTTCCATGTCATTAGGTGAGAGTCAGGAGGCCTCCACAATTAGGTACTACTGATAAAAGAATTTACATTATTTTGCTCCTAGGTAATAAAGATAATACAAAGCTTTTCTGCAGACTTCAGCCATTAAAGTAACAGCATTAGTTCACAAAGTTTACGTTTATTTTACTTATGTCATCATTTATATGCTATTTATCAGTGCTAACCCTTTCAAGGCAGCTCATGTCATCCTGAAACAATTCGTCATAATATAACATAGAAACTTCTTTACTGAAAACATGATCAGTATTACTGATGTAGTTGGCAGTTCTACCCATGAAAATCAAAACTTGGGTGCCTCATGGAGCATATGAAACAGGCACAACATACGAGGCCACTTCAATTGACTGCCCTTCCTGTGGCATCTAATTCACATCTAATGGCACAACACAAGGGTGGTGGCAGCTCAGCTCAAGGCACTCTTGGAAGAAATGGGTACGAGTCACTTCAGCATGGTTTGGGGACCAAATTAGCCACAATGGAAGCCCTTTGTCAGGAGAGGAACCCACTTGTGGAATCATCACCTCTCTTGTAAAAGGCAAGCAGCGACCAATTATGTTCATTCTGCGATTGCTTTTCTCTGACTTTTTCACCCAGGCCTTTGCAGGCCTTCAATATCTACCTCCTGTGACCTTGTAATATCTGCTATGGGTTGCTTTATATTGGTTTTTATTTTTGTAGAGCTCTTATAATTTTGCTTTATCACAATTTTAGTAAGTTGTATTTTTGTTAACCTCCGCATGTGGTGTTTTTTTAAAAAATAAAGAGCTGGTATAAGAATATTTTAAACAAACTCATTCCATCCTGTTCATCAGTTTTGTAACTATTTTAGCTCTTTTATTCTCTGATTCTCTAAACAATAGAAATCATCCATCCACTGGCAAGTTTCTGTGATGAAGTTACTTCAAAAGAAGTAAAAGGATTTCCTGCTGTAGTTGGTCTCACCTTTTCTTCTTGCTGATGATCATGTCCATGGTTTGAAGGAGACGACGCTCCAGAGCTAGAATGTCTGCATCTGTCACGTTCCTGTAACAGACACCCATACAAACCTGTTGATATGGTTCTGACTTCCAATAACAGTAATGTCCAACCCAAAGCTTCCCCAATTTTGAGCCACTCCTCTTAACCCAGTTCCAGTGGAGCATAATACAGTGGAACCTTGGGTTGTGAACGTGATCCATGCAGGAGGCACATTCGCAACCCGCAGTGCAGCGTCTGCACACGTGTGGATTGCGCTTCTGCACATGCGCAAAGCGCGATTTAGCACTTCTGCGTATGCGTGAGCACCAAAATCCGAAAGTAACCCGTTCTGGTACTTCCAGGTTTGGTGCTGTGCGCAACCTGAAAACGCATAACCCAAAGCGTCTGTAACCCAAGATACCACTGTACTCATATTCTAGATAGGGCCAATAATAAGACTGCACATATAATGCTAGAATCAGCATCCCACAGAGGAGATGGGGGTGGAACTACCAACTCTGAGGAGGCATTTCTGAAAACTTGGTGCTGAAGGAAACAAAAATCAGGAAACACCATTTACCTGAGAAAATAAGACATATAAGTATATGGGCAATTGACTGCACCAAACCCCGAAAGTAGAGCCATGAGGGTCACCCCAATCACTCCCACTCGACTGATGAGTTGTTCTATGGATAGAATTCCTAACAGAAAAGAAAATATTTAGTTAATTCTGTCACTATGATCTCGAGAATACAGAAAAGCACTATAGTTACATTTGCACAAATCATTTTGCTCTAAAATTCCTAGCATAACTTCAGTTATTTAGCATCTACTGGCATAATTTCAAAGCGATGTGAATACTCTTCTGTAAGGATACTAGAAAAAATGTTGTGCCATCTCATACAACTCTTGCGATAAGCAAAGGAATACAGGAATACTCAATTTCTGAAGGACACACCATGTGCTGAAAAATTCTTTCTAGAAATAATAAATTTTATAGGTCAGGTCATTTCCTCGGGACTTCTATTTTACTATTTTTACAAAATGAGCATGTGATTGCAGGTGTCTGTTGCAACTTTAGAGGGCTAATAAAGATCCAGGTGACATAAGAAAGCATCCAAGGCTGCAGTCCTAACCCCACTTACCTGGAAGTAAGCCCCACTGAATTCAACAGGTCTTACTTTTGAGTAAACATAGTTAGAACTGCAGTCTATGAAGGAAACCTATGAGGAAATATGCACTGGATTGTGTGGTATGAGTATCTGATCTATCAAGTGTCAACAAAAACCACTCATTAATTCAGAGATCCTGACTTTCCCCCAGAATACCATTAAACATGAGGGTCCCTTTTGTCAGCACAGATCAAGCATAAATAGCCAGGTATGCTATGTACACAGTGAATCATTTCAGGGAGCTCATAAGCAGAAGACAATGAACTGAAATGTTGTATGAAACTCACCATGTTTTGGACTGAGGATAGGAAATGGATCCCCCAGTTTCCAGAAGAAATACATGAATGTCAACCAGACAACACAGGCAAAAAGCAGTCTGTGTCTGTGCACTAAAATTAATAACAAAGAAAGTCAAAAATTATTAAGGTCGTTATCTATTTGGAATGTCAAGTGTTACTTTGGCTGGCAACCTAAAGCGCTTGAGCCACTATAGTGTTTTGAGGTACATGCAAACTTACACAATCGGATGTTGCTCACAACAAAGTAGCCGATGTAAAAGGGAACCATGAATACAAGGACAAGCAAAATCACACAGAGGTTCAACTTCCAGTGAAAATACCTAGAGCTGGAAAATAAAAGAAGGGCTGTTCACTATCAGATCATCACCACAGAAGAAATTTTAAAATCATTCTTAATCATTTATAACTTGACAGGACCAGAACGAAACAAATAAATAAGCCCATCAAAGGCATTAAGGTAACAGTCCTGTCTGAAACATTCTAACATTAGCTGCTATGCTTACCTGCTGTTTAGGACTCCTAGTATCTCAAAAATGATAAGTTCAAACATGGTGCAGGAAAAGGCAAAGGTGACAGAGAAGACAACCTGTACAACATACTGCCGCACCTGTAATAAAGCCAGTAGAGCAGAAACAGAAGTCACTTCCACAAGCAAAGTATTTGACATTCATTTCTGAGTGGAAAGAATATGTTGGTGCTTTAAGATGTAAACATACAATGGGACCTATACCCAAGTTCTCAAATAAGCCTTTATTGATAGGTTAACAGATAATTATCTCACCTTCTGTAACTATTTTCTCTGACATCTGATTAAATGCAGAAAATCTTTTTTAAAATTGTAAGCAAATTAACTCTAAACTGTGTTTTGATCCAACTGATCAAACAAACATAACAGTAAGGAGTCCTAAAGTCCATTCCAATGCATAACTACTCACAACTATGTCTCAATGAGGTTTTCACTCAAGTGAATGTGCTTAGGTTTATGGCCTTTGGACCTCCAGTTCTTGCTGAACTACAACTCCCATCATCCCTAACTACTGTCCATGCCTGCTGAGGCTGATGGGAGTTGTCCTTTGTTAACATCTGGATGGTCAAAGGTTCCCCTAGGGAGCTAGCCAATATGCAAACCTACTCAGAAGTAAGCATGGACCATAGCTTGGTGTAGATCATCTGCTTTGAATATGGAACATCTACTTTCAATCCCCAGCCTCTCCAAGTAGGGCTGGGAACAACGCCCTGACTGAAATCTTGGAGAGCTGAGGCAAGTCAGTGAAGACAATACTGAGCTGGATGGACAACTGCTCCAACTTGGTATAAGGCAGCTTCCTAAGTAAGCCCCTGAGTTCAAGAGGGCTTCTTCTCAGGTAAGCAGGTATAAGATGGTATAACAATCTGAAGGAGTGAGATTCCCAGCAGAGAAACTGCCAGCCAGTGCAGTAGGTGGAGGGAAAAGCTTTTTCTTATTTTTCCTGTCATGGTGGGTTTCTGTAAGGTTTCCCTCATTGACCACCATAGGAGAGAATAAATCCAGGGCTGGCAGAATTTTGCAACCAGTTTGGGGACATTTCAGGAGAACAAGGATGCTAAGGATCCTGCAGATCCACTGACATCTGCTTCAGGATTGTTTCCTAAATTATTCGAACTCAACTTTATCTCTTCCCATATTGGCAGCTTCACTTTCAGGTCACAATAAAGTTACAGTTGATGGTCCCCACCTCATAATCTTTGAAGAGCCGACGCATGAAGAACAGCCATCCAAATCCAAAGAATAGCACCTGCAGAGGGACAGAAGGGCAGTTAACGATCTCAAATTTTGCAGTTTCAAAATTCTGAAATCTTAAAATTTCTTAGTACATGCAGGTATATTGCTGCTTTCAAAGTAAGATACTTGATACACCAAAATAAAAGTTGTTTTTAACTGTGGTGTAACTAGATTGGGATTTGTTTCTTCCTAGAACAAATAAACAGTAGGGGGGGAGATTTTGAAAATATGAAGCCATGCAGTGTTAGAAACTGAGATATGAAAACTAGTAGCTAAATAGCACATTAAACCTAGGTTATGGGTGCAACAACGGAATGTCTAGGTGCGCTTTTTTATAACAAGAATACAAAGCTGAAAATGAACTGCAGATGTTCATTTTTCACATAGTCTAGTGTCCTTCCCCTGCCCACCCCCGTAATATTCTTAAGAGGATCACTTCTCCAGTCTTCAGAGAGTAGCTGGACATGGAGAGGCAGAAAAGGTTTCTCCTTTCCTTCCACTCTACAGTTTTAATCTGAAATCTCAGGCATAGTACTGCACCCAGAGATAAGAAACTGCTCGCGCTAATGAAATTCCGTGTTGCAAAATGCACCTTGAACAATGGAAGTTTCAAACACTGAAGCCATGCCACATGAGAAGATAGCAGCAATACTTCATCTATTTGTTCTGGCACATTAAAAACAGAAGATAGTGGGAGTCAATATACTTTTTATCCAAGGATTTGAACTTCTGGAAGTATGTGTCATGAGAACACTGACAATGCAATCCTATTGTATTTGTTTATGCCACCTTTCAAGACAAACCTCTTCCAAAGTGGCTTGCATAACAACACCATAAAACAGTTTTTAAAATACATATATTATCCAACTAAAGCATAGCAGCAGTTTAAAAGTCCAGCATACAACTTAAGAAAATGCTGATTATAAACATCTATGAGTCAACATCCTTCAAAAAACTAACAAAAGTCTGGCCATAAGTACTTGAGTTTTGAACTATTTGTAAATGTTTATTTTAAAGTACTGTAATCCACTCTAACACACCCAAGATATAAAATATAAACATGGTTATCCTTACAAAGGAATTTCCTGTGCTCATGACCCACATGTGTTTTTGTGTAAATGGGTAGGCTACAATGTGCTTTTACTTTTTCTTATGTTTTTAAGTTGCAACTCCCTTAGACGCCTTTGGTGTAACAAGCAAGTAGGCAGTTTAATTAATAATAATCCCACAAACCAAGTACCCCACAAGCAATCTGAAGAGCCATGGATAAAAATGGGCCCCATAAGCCACTTCTGAAGTGCAGCATCCCCTTTAAGAAACATGGGAAACAAGTTGAAAGATTGCAGTTGGCAGGGAGGGAGAGACAGAGAGAGAGAGCTTGCCGCATGATAAGGTGGGAGGGCCCTAGCCCACCTCCCACTCTGTTTTGGCATAGCTGGCAGAGGCCTAGTCTACAGATGCTGCACAATGAGCTGGCAGAACAGGTGCACCACTTCAGAGTACAGGTAAATGTCATTGCTCCTGGAGGTTCCTGCAGGTGAAAAACCTGGGAAGAGAAAACTCTGCAAGCAGAGAAGTTGCAACCCAGCCCAATCCCTTCTGTGCCACCGGGTTTGTCTCTCTTTTTTCTTGTTTAGCATACTGAAGCACTGGAAAATGTGAGTCTCTCCCCCCCAGCCCACTTTCAAAAATGGTACAGTCCATCCTCCTCTACCTGCAGCCAGAAGTGGTCCCGTCCACCTTCCTATCGCCTCGTTCTGCCGAGCTTAAGTGGGATGAGGAGACTAGGAAGTTCCAACTCCTTTTTCGGGGGGGGGGTAACATAGCTGTGGCTACATGGGGGGGGGAGAAAGAGGAAAAGAGCGGGGGCCTCGTTACCTGAGATACGACCATGATGCTGGAGTCAATCAGGAAGCTCATAGTGAAGAGAAAACCCTCCCGAAGGGGAGAGATGCGTCTCTCTCACACACTCAACCTCTCCCCCTCCCCAAGTCCCAACGGCCACTTCTCCCCTTACTCAGGCGGGCTCGCGAGCGTCAGCTCAGAGCGGCTCGGCTTGGCCCCGCCCCCTTTCCGCTGCCTCATTACCGGGCGCCACGATCGGGGAGGCGGGGCCACGGAGTCATAGGACATAGAGATAGGAAATGAGAAGAATAGCTCATCGCCTTTTCTGGAGATGGAACTTCCCGGTTTCGTTAGGTGGCTTCCACAGCCACCTAAAATAAAATAAAACGAAATTACTGTAGATCTAACCTGCTGGGGGAAAGCATGAACTGCCTATGCTGCTGCTGCTGCCGCCTTCGGGAAAGCGGAACACGCTTCTGCCCAATAGCAAATATCACAGAAAAGGGTTTTTATATATATGTATTTATTTTTTAATATATAGAGAGCATTCCGTTGTTTTCTATGGGTAACTCTCATTTGCAACCCAGGAGAAGAAAGGCAAACTAGGGTCTAAATATATAGAGACAACTATACATGCTATATATATGCATATATCTATACATGTTTATAGCTGGGAGGGTCAAGCCGCTCACATAACCTGCATTTCCGCTATTAAACTTGCGCGAGTCCTATAGAGGCGAGGCTTTGGGGATCTGCAGGACGGAGCTGAAGAGGCGAGGCGTGCAAAGGCTGAGAGGAGGGCGAAGCAGGGGCGTAGGCAAGATTTTTGTTGGGGGGGGGAGCAGAACCTCAGTTAGCTACATATTTTTATGGATTTAGGGATGGGGCAGCTGCCCCCCCCGTCCCACCCACCCCCTTGGCTACGCCCGTAGGGCGACAGCGGCTCCCTTTCAGCTGGGAGTGCTCGGTAGTGTCTGGGTCGCCGGAGGCGCCTTAAGGGACGGCACCCGGCGGGCTTCTCCAGCAACTAGGATTCCGGTTAACAAAAGGGACTCTGCAGCTCTATCTACCTGTTGTTTTTGACTCCTGTGTAATCTCATTTTATGCCGATTGCTTGCTGTTTTTTTAATGCACCTACTTCTATCTGAAAAGAAAATGTGCTGTCGTGCAATTTATTTGGAGATTTTATTCAAGGTGTCCCGGGGTGATCATTAAGTAAAGGCTTAAGGGAAGTTTTTAATATGTAACGCTGTATTGTTTTTAACACTTGATTGGGAGCCGCCCAGAGTGGCTGGGGAAACTCAGCCAGATGGGCGGGGTATAAATAAATTATTATTATTATTATTATTATTATTATTATTATTATTATTATTATTATTATGGCTGGTTTGAACAAAGGCCCGATTTATACACGGTGAAGGCAGCAGGGGGGGGGGGAGCCCTTGAATGCATAGCTTTCCTGGTTTCTACATTTGGCTGCCGGCCTTCGCAAACCAGAAATCGAATACCCGGGTGAAGTGCAAACCTCTTGTACTGGGCTTTATGTGCACATTGGCTAGCATACATGAGAAGTGGGTGTATTTATATGTGACGGGTTAAGGTGGGTGAGGGAGTCTGTGTACTGCACAGATTAGACTTGAAAAGGGGTAAATCTGTCAGCTCTTTGTGGTTTGTTTAAAAGTCTCGCAGCCTGATTATCTGCTTAAATCAATAATTGTAAGTTGCGTTACGCTCCCTTTTCAGCCTCAATTTCACATCTGTATTTGCAGTTGGATAAATGCATTATCTTAAATCAGGTGGGGAACCTCCAGCCTTCAGACCTAATTTCAGATGTGGGGCAGGTAGAGATGCAGCTGCTAATGCGCAGTTGGGAGCCTTAAAGTGCACTCCTGGTTGTGTATTGGGAAAGGAGGTTTGCTGTCACTTCTGATCTGTGGTGAGAGTAAACCTACTGGGACTAAGTGCTTCTGAGTTCCTTAGGAAGGATGCCTGTTGAAAGCAGGGCTAAAGTCACCGCTTGTCATTTTATAGGCTGTAGCTTCAAGGCTCACTTAGCTTGGGTTTTCTTTTCTAGTGCGACTTGCCACACCACAGAGGAATAATTTATCACCTGACTGTCAAAGTGGTAGCCTGGATTTGGGAGAACCTAGGATCTGACCTCCTGGCTGGATCTAGTTTGCCACCCCTGTCTTAATAGGTTGTTGTAAAGATGAATGGGGTTTTCAGAGTGGGCTGTCAGAACCTCACAGAATTGGCTTTGCCTTTACACAAAAGAAGAAAGCAGTGTCTGAAAAAGGGGAAAGTACTTGAGAAACAGGACTAAATATGGGGCTTTGAAATTAAAGATTGACTACACTGTCAAACTTTTCCAAGTGCATTTCCTTGTTTTTCTTTGAAAATAGAGGCTCACAACCATTGTGAAGTTGTTTATAGCATAGATGTCATCAATCACAACAAAAATTTGTTGGCCCTTTTAATATCTAGTCTAGATTGCATTCTGGTTTTGGAGGTGTCTTGATAATAATTCTTGAAATCTTTGTTTCTGTCATAAACATTCTTTGCTCTCTGTAATAGAATGCATGCACATGGAACACTGCTGAAAGCCAAGAGTTAGAGCATTTCCCAAGGGAAAATCCAGTCGGAGGAGAAGGCTGCTGTAATCTGTTCATCTGAATGGCACCATGGGATTTTAATATGCAAGTAGGCAAATGCTCTGCCCCAAATAAACCCAAATATAAATTATAAACTAAGATATTGGCAACTCTTTTGTCCCATGCAACAGCCCTTCAACTCTTCCCTTCACAAGCCAACCAGTTAAACCAGCAAGCTTAACCATAGCTTTCCATTACATCCCAACTGGGAAACTGGTTACAAGCTTCACAACAAGCCAGGATATTAAACAAACTTCCAGCTGTTATTAGGCCTCAATACAATTGTATCAATACGAACTAATCAATAACACTGAAACATCAAAAAAATAGATAAAATCTGTGTCTTTAAATTTTTAAACATTTAAATAATGATTCTAAAAACACTTTTCAAAATTGCACTTCTGTAGTTGTAAAAAAACCCAAAAAAAACCCCTCTTAATACAAAGGCTGAGTGACCTAAACAGATTGCACAGAAGTAATCACAAGTTTTCTGATTTACCATGTTCATGAATATACAACACTGCTGTGAAAATGCAAAATGTTTTGTGGAGAAATATTAATGTTCTTTTTTCAGTATCGCTTTACCAGTGAAAATAAAAGCATTTTTTTATTGAAAAGCAATTCATCGTCCTCCATAAGTGGCCCTTACCACCTAAAATCTAGAACACTTAAGATACTGTATAAACTGATTTCTCTTGTCCTGTTGGGTCCCATGGATCTGAACAGGTTTAACTGATAGAATCTGTGTGCACCAAAAACTTTCATCATCAAACCCCCTTCCCTACCCTCTATGGAGCAGAGTTGCTGAAGAGACCAGCATTTTCATTTATGTGCCTGTTTTATCAAACAAAGAAGAGCTCACGTTGGGATTATTCTCCGTCATGACTCTGAAAGGCAGCTTTGTCTGTGAACAGCAACATTGCTGCTTTTCCGGCATCAAATATGGTCTATTTTTAAATGTAAAACTGCATGTTCAGTAAGAAAGTGAATGATGGGAGTCTGGGATCGTTGTACAGACCTTGTATAAACTCACTCTATAGCCCATGAAATTCACCTGCTGCACACAGCAATGTAATAGAGAACTAATGTGGTCTACTGGGTGGTACATTGGGATTTGACCTAAGGAACCTAAGTTCAGTAGCCCTGCTTGAACATCAAATCACTTGATTGCAATTTTCAGTTTGCTTTCTGTGAACTTGGAATAATAACAATCAAAATCACATTCTGGAGAGGAATGAGATAAAGGCTTTAAAGAAATTTGAACATTACAGTGATATAGAAATGACTCATTTGCCTATTTTTGGAGCTCATATTAACTTCATTTACTGGGAACACCTAATATAGCAATCATTTTATTGAACTCACAATTGGAGCTGGTTCTATAATGAGGCAGAATAAGGCACTTAGCTCAGGCAGTGATTACCTCCAACCCTGATCTGCCTTAGGGTGTCTTCAGAAAAAACTAGCAGGTCAAGGAGGAGGGATGAGGCAGTAGCAATGGTGATGGGAATTTGCCTCAGTGGGCACAGTGTGTTGCACCTATCCTGGATCCACTATTCACCAAAACACACATAGGTTTGATATAATCCTCAGTGGATGCGTTGGTCATCTTCCACTGTTTGAAAGAAAGAAACTTTCTAGTGCCCAGAATCTTAATAATTTAACAATTGTCCAAACTTCCATTCTCCTCAGACTTTTGCCTGTTTAGCTCAACTGTAACCCAGCCCCACTACTGCAAGTTGTAGGAAGCTGAAATTTTTAGTGCATTTCAAATTGTCCAGGGTCATTTCCTAGAGTTTCCCACCCTCCCCCAATATAAATGAGCAATAATCACATTCCATTTTTGTTTCTTCACAAATGAAATCAACAGTGTGGCAACATGAGAGTCAATAGGAAAGCCACACTACAAGAAAGTAACAGAATTTGGAAAAGAACTTAAAAGTACACTTAATATATTGTTAGTGTACACAAAAAATCCGGAAAACTACCAAAGTTGCCTTCGTTTTGTGTGTATTGCGGGGAGGGGGAGGTTAATTTGATGACTTCTCCCTCTAGCAAATACTAGTAAGAGTGTGTTGCTTGTTGTTACTTCCATGGGGTACACCTCAGTCCACGCCCCATATTCTCTTCCCAGCTGCTTGAGAGACTAATGGGGAGGATGAACTGAGACAGCTGTTGCAGGCTAGCTGTGCTTTTGAGATTTTCAGCCACACATGCCAAAACGATGTGGACAGCTTTAGGTACGTGGCACATTTCCTTGCAGGTTGGGGGTTGCCCAGTACTGTTCTGCATCAGGCTGTGAAACACATATGCAATTTGGATAGCTGAATGCGATATCAGTGTTGTGTCCAGATAGCATACACTTTGGCACCAAAAATAAAATAAATTCGCTTCTTCTGCAGTGTGATTGTTAATCCACCCTGCCTGTTGCTTTCTCGAGATCAGTTCTGGAAACGTGGCACAAACAACTGAATCATCAGTGTGTTCTCAAACTGCCTAGCCTGTCCAAGCGTTGGTGCCAGTGATAAAAGCTACAACACAGCCATTAAAGGATCTTCAGCTCCTAGATGCCGAAGAGA